GCTGAATTTTGAATTTTGAGTTGAAACAAGATTCAAGTGTTATGATTGTACTTAGAAATATATATAGTACCAAAAAAAATTGGGAAAGCTTTTTATGTTCTCCCTACAACATAGAAGTTCTATGTTCCCCCTACCATCCAGCCGTCCATTTTTTATTAAGAGAGGCACGCACTGTTTGATCTTAGATCCGATATCTTAAAGTATTTTATTTTTATTTTTTTTAATACAATTTTTTTTAATATGAAATTTGGTACGTGCCATCTTCTCATTGGGGTGCACCCACAAAAAATATTAACAATAATTTTTTGATAAAAAATAATGACTAAAATACCCCTTAAAGATTTTAGAGTTATTTTGATCATTTTATTCATTGAAAATATTTTTTTTATTTTTCATTAGTGCCAGTTTAATATAGGAATGGACGTCCAAATTTTGGTGTTAAAACAGTTTATAGAAAAAAAATTAAAAATAAAACAGTGTAGAGATGTGACATTGTGATTAGGGCAATCTTAGCCCTCCATTAAAAAATGGACGGCTGGATAAGGAGAACATATAACTTCTAATTCATTTAAAATTGGCATGGGAAAACAAAAGTCAAGTGCCGACCTTGGTAAGCAATTCATTTATTGTAGTAAACAAATATTTAATGCTACTACTAATGTATTGTTTACTATCATTATTTACTGGTTAAAACTTCATAATTTAGGCATACTGATATGATGCATTGTTTGTAGTTTTACTTTACAGTTATATATTATTGGGGCAATAAAATGATGGTTAGTTATTATCACGTTAACATTAAAAAACCAATAGAAAAAAAAAAATCGATTTGCGGACCCATGGCTTAAGAGAATGTAGCAAGTGTGTTTCACACGCAAGATGGGTATTATTTAATGGAATTTATTAGTGACTATTTATGATTTATAGGTATTTCGTCGAAGTAAATGTAAAATTAGAGTTGGGCCAAGGTTTCATAATAAATAAAAGAGAAATGATCCTATAGGACCTTCTCCTATTTATGTGTGTAGAACCCCAAATAATTACCATTAAATTTAGCACGGATCTATAGAAAAGTCAAGTCCCACACTTATGTGGTAACTTTTTTTTTTTTGACAAGAATTCCATAAATTTATTCAAAGGCAAATAAGTACATGATGTTAAATAAAAGATACATCAGAGACTACCAACTCGAAAAGTGAACCACCCCGCTTGGCCAGAGAATCTGCTAGCCATTTACCTCTCGCAAAACATGAACAAAGGAAATAGACAGACCTTGTGAAAAGTCCAAAATTTCGAGGAGGAAGGATCTAAGCACCCACGGAATCTTCATAATCTTGTTGCACCAGCTAATGGCATTTAAAAAATCCCCTTCCACCTCACAATTTGAGCCTATATTCTTGGACATAAAAAGCCTAAGCCCTTGAAGAAGAGCGAAACATTCCGCATAATTGCCAGTCTGAACACCTAAGGGGTCCGCATAAGTAAAAAGAACATGGCCCTCCCAATCTCTCACAACTCCTCCTTAACTTGCAATACCGGGGTTTCCAAGGGAGCTGCCATCAAAATTCAATTTAAAACCCCCATAAGAAGGCGGACTCCATCTTCCAATTGCTCTACATCTACGAACCCCTAGCTTGGAAAGAGAATTCAAGTTCAACCTTACATCAATCTCAATAATGTCTCCCCACCTTCTGCACAGATAGATACATCCATACCGAATGCAATATCTTCTATAATATTGTTTCCCAAGAAAGCGATTTACCTTCGAACACTCTCCTATTTCTTTCCTTCCAGATTTCCTAAATAATCGTCCCTCTAACAACCTGCCAAATACAGTACTTGTTTGAGGCAATGATGGAACAGATAACGCACATACAATACCAAGAGTCTCCCCGGGTAGAATTAAAGGCACTCCCATTTGGCCAAAAAACCAAGACCAAATGGCAAAGGTAAACGGACAGTTCATGAAAAGATGGGAACTTGTTTCGTCTTCATTATTTCATAACAAACATACATTGGGAAGGATCTTCCCTCTCTTAATAAGGTTATCTGTAGTGAGGACTTTGTCTTGTATTACCAGCCATAGTAAAGCTTGAATCTTTTGGGGGTAAAGGTCATTTCCAGATTTCTACTAAAAGAGGTTTAGTCCATCTCCATCTATCATGTAATAGAAGATCATACATTAACTTCATTGAAAACTGCCTATCAATAGAATGTTCTCAAATTACCTCATCTTTGGGCCCCTCATCTAGTGAAATGTAAGCCATATTTAACAAAGACAGAAGATTGGAGAACTGAGAGAGGGTGCTATCATGGATTCTATTGTAGATAAAGCTAATATCCCAATCCTTTTTGTTTCCCCTAACAACCAAGAGATCATGAACAAGCGCATCTCTATTATCCATTCGATGAAAAACGAGAGGGAAGGCCAATTTTAGAGGAATATCACCCAGCTATTTATGATGCCAAAAGGAGATACACCTGCCATTTCCTAAAGACCATTGAATATCTCTTTGTAGCAAAGGTTTACAGTAAGAAATAGCTTTCCAGCTTGGTGACATCCCTGGCGAATTTCTCCTCTGGCCTACCCACATCTTGAACCAGTCTTCACCACAACTGGTTTTTAAGGTGGAGACTTCTCTACCACCATTTACGTAAGAGTGCCTGATTGACCAACTTAATTTTCCTTTTTTCCAATCCACCCTCTTTTTTCGGGGTACACACTTTATCCCATCGCAAAAGGCGGAACTTTTTAGCTTTACCCATGGATTCCCATAGAAAAGTATGCATAATAACTTCAATTTTCTTAGCCACCAATGCTGGAATTTTCAAAAAAGACATCTGGTAAATGGGAAGGTAAGATAAGCAGACTTTGATCAAAGTAATTCTACCTCCCAGATATAAATATTTAAATTTCCAAAGGTCTAATTTTGTTTGGATGCTTTGGATGACCCTATCCCATACTGCAATAGGTAATAGACCATCAGAAATGGGCAATCGAAGGTAAGTCATAAGAAACTGTTTCACCTTCGCACCAAAAATCTTTGCCATATTGTTATCACACCCATATGATAATTTTTTTAGAGATTCGTGCCAACTTTAATGGTGATCCTTTAGGATCCTACATACATGGGTGGGGGAGGGTCCTATAGGATCATTACTCTAAATAAAAATATACAAAGACACTGTTTGCACTAAAAGAGATCACAATCACAATTATAAATTATGGAAAAGTATACAAAAAGACCTTTTAATTTGGGATAGATACCATTTATTTTTTATTACAAAGAGGTCATAACTATTTCTACTCATTAGATTTCAAATTGGGTGGCTTGGGGGGAGTCATGAAGTTTGAAATTTTTTTTGGAACTTTGTGTCTAATTAATGACTTTCTTACAACCAATCATTTTGAGATCTAAAAGACAAGAATGATTGCGATATCTTTGTACAACCTTTTAGTACAAGGAGATCATAATCATTCTTGTCCATCAAATTTAAAATCAAATGGTTGTAAGTGTACTTATGACTAAACTCAAAGATCTACAGAAAATTTCAACTTTGTGACATACCCAATCCATCTAATTGAACATTTGATGGCTAGAATTAGTTGTATTCTCCTTATACTAAAGACAAATGGTCTCATAGTATACACGATCCCATAAATTATGCAGCTGGAAATTGAAGTTTTGGTACCTAAAACCCTTGAGGTTGATTGTCGCAAACAAAATGGAATTCAAGCCTAAAAATCATAATCTTGTTGTAGCACATCATCACGACCGTCTTTTTCTAGGTGTTCACATATTGAAAATGACTATTTTACATCAACTTTCGATCTTGAAATTTCATAAGAAGTTATCAAAATGGATTTCAGCAATGCAAATCGTATTGACCTCAACTCTGTGACTTTGGAAGTCATGAATAAAAGGCTAGAAAATTGTGGCGAAGTATCGTGTGAAGAGATTTGCGAGTAGATTGTTGGCCTCCTCCTAAAAGCGGAGGTTATTTTGGGGAAGTCAAAATAAAATAGGGACTTTTTCATAATTAATACCCCTAAAGACTCCAACCAACCTAAATTGCAATCACGTGGACGATAATGTCTACCATAAATAGCTACAAAAGCTTGTAAAATGGGGTGGTATATTATCTTACATTTACTCCCGGATGTCAAAGTTAATTGTTTGAGTGTATCACATTCGAAAAGTGATTGGGTGTCTCCTGAAGTTTGAGAAATTTATTTTTGAACTTCGAATTTATTTCATGACAGACTTGTAACTGCTTAATTTGAAATTTGGTGAACATACTAGATAAATACCCTTGTTTAAAGTTTTTTTTAGGGAGAACAATTCTTTCATGCATGCTGAACCGCAATTCGACAATATGCGGTACAGAGGTATAAAGCATCTATCTTAAAGATGGATGCAAATAGGTGGTGCATCTATAAAAAATTGTAACTAACTGTTCAAATATTTTTTTAATATAATTATTATTTATAATTTATAATTTTTATTTTATATTCATGATCTCAATGTTAAAGATTACATATTATCTAAAACTTCCGATCAATTATATTTAAAAAATATATTTATTGTCGAGCCGGTATTTCTACATGTGCGGAGGACTTGGCCGCATGCTAACTGCGTCCTTTCCAAAATACCCTTGTTTCACATTTTCACTAAAAAATCACATCAAACAATTGAGGAGTTACTCAAATATTAAATGCCTATTTCTAATGAAGCGACAATGAAAGTTAAGAAAGACATTGGGATATTTCCACTGGATCAGAGAAATTAGATATTTTCATGCAAATTTTTACTGCCAATTATTTCCAAAAATCGAATGAATTTTATTAAGGCAGAGAGGAGGGCCAAGAATTCCGAATTTGCACCGAAATTTCAAGGTCCATCTGGGACAAATTTCACGTGGATAAAAAGTTCTATTAAGACACAGAAACAAGTGTCCGTTACCGTTTAGCGCTGATGCCCAACGTTGCGTAACGGAAGCGTCGCCCGCCTCTATTTCAACCGCCATTACCCTTCATTTTAACCCCATCTCTCCATTCATCACTCTCTCGCTCTGAGAGCAGGTCATCGTGCTCTCCTCAATTCCACGCGCCCAGACCCGATTCCTCGCCCTCGAAGCCAAAGGCTTTGCCCCTAGGACTTGCAACTCTATCTCTCTCTCTCTCTCTCTCTCTTCTCTCCAATTCCTCGGCGGAAATGTCTGCAAAAGGAGACTGTGGAAAACATGGCTGGAACGGAGAGAAGCTGTATCGCCGCCTATTTGGCTGCCTGATCGGCTTCATCATCCTCATCCTCTTCATAATCCTCATCATCTGGCTCGTGCTTCGCCCCACCAAGCCTCGCTTCTCTCTCCAAGACGCCACAGTCAACTACTTCAACGTCACCACTCCTAATCTCCTCTCCTCTAATTTCCAAATAACCATTGTATCCCAAAACCCTAACGATCGGATCGGTATTTATTACGACAGACTCGAGGTTTACGCTTCTTATCGAAGCCAGCAAATCACATTCAGGACTGCGATTCCCCCTAATTATCAAGGCCATAACGATTATAGCGTCTGGTCTCCGTTTCTAACCGGCGATCGGGTTCCTATTGCGCCATTTCTAGCCGCTGATTTGAGCCAGGAGCAGAATTACGGAGTGGCTCAGGTTTCCGTTAAGATGGACGGAACTGTGAGGTGGAAGGTCGGGGCATGGACTTCCGGGAATTACCATATTTATGTGAGCTGTAATGCAATTGTGGCGTTTTCTCAAGGCGCCGTTAATGGTAAGGTGAGCATGCAGCCGGGAGCCAGGTGCTACACCGATGTGTGATTCGGTTCGGTTGGTTTCCTTCTCTCTCTAAAGCTTCGGTTCGATTCTCTCTCTTCTCTCACTCTGTCTCGTTTTGCATCTGCTATGGTGTTTTAGATGAGTGTTTAGTCTCTCTGTTTCGAGTTATGGAGACATCTGATGGATCTGTTTCCCTCTCTATCCTCCATGTTACATTGACATGTGGTGCTCTACAGGCATCTGATCTCTCTCTCTCCTCTACGACCCTCAATTCCTCTCTCTTAGCCCTCTGTAAGTTTTGTGTGCTTCGATCTCTCTCTTACTATTAAATACCTGTAAGTTTTATCTTTTTTGTCGTCAATTTCAGTAGATCTCTCTTGTAGAAATGAGAAATAATCATGGAAGGAAAAACATGGAGAAAATGGGTTGTATATGAAGATGGTTTGGACTCTTGGAGTCGCTCTTGTATTTAAAAAAAAAGGAATAATTTGAAGATGGTTTGGACTCTTGGAGTCGCTCTTGTATTAAATTCTCAATTGTAATAATTGAATGAATTATAATTTCGGTTTTTCCTGCAGTTTTTGCTCTTCATGTTATTTATTTATTCACTGCAGTTATCGTGATTATTGAAATCACTGCCCTTTTCTATTTGTTAGTCTCCTGATTCCGGTTTCTATCTTTTTGTTTCGTTTGATTTCGACAAAATAATAATTAAAATATGAAAAGAACGGGGTACCGGTTACAGCAATTGCTCGCTCTAAGTCCTTTTATTGTCAATAAAAAGATTAATTAATATCTTATTTTGGGTGAATAATTAATTAATAACTGATATTTGGGATTTCTGTGTTCCTTTACTCGCACGTGGGTCGGTGTTTCCTAGCCTTTGACGCTAGTTCCTCTTAATTTCACGAAGAATTTTCTGGGGACAGATCAGGACAGTCAGATTGAGTAGAGCTACCCATAGTTTACGGCATAAAGCTTTCTGCAAGTTGTACTTCAATTTCTATGGTCCTGCGTTTTTGCTTGCTTGAATAGTGCCAAAGAAAATGACAGAATGTATGTATTTGAGATCATTCGCATTAGTAAAAATATAATAAAAAATAAAATACTACTGAACAAATATGATTGTGTGATGAAATCACCGTTTATTTTCCCCTATAGGCGTTGAGAAGAGTTTTTTTTTTTAATTGAAAATACTACAAAACGTCTATAGGCAAAAATAAACAGTGATCTTGCCTACTTTCTTTACTATCCAAATTTCATCGTACGGTCACGGTTATTCAGTAGTGTTTTAATTTTTATTTTTTATTTATTAATCAGAATAATCTGAAATTTGGAACATGTGTACCTCAAAATGTAGAATTAAATATAGAATTAAATATGTACCTCAAAATGTCATTGTAAAAAGTTGTTTTAATATTGAAAAACCCTCAAATTGATTATATGGACATGGAGATGTATAGATATGAAAAATAAATAAAAAATATTGAGTCTCATAAATAGTGCTTTTTATAACACATTATTTAGACAGTTCATTTTCAATATTGTCATATGTTTATAGATTTATTTGATTTAAATTATTTTTAAAGTTTTAAATTTTATAATTAGATATGAAAATAGATTTTCAGTTGATCTTAAGAAATTTTTACACTATAGTTACATAAAATTTGGAGGTGCACTTTAATTGGATTGGATCATTTAAAATTGCAACCTTATAGAAAACCATACCCATTATAAAAAAAAAAAAACAAAATCAAACTTTTATGTGGGTTAAGTAGTTTGCAGTCCGCACTTTTGAACACACAAGTTTCCATGGTTTACGTAGTTGGCACATTTGAAAAATAAAAATTATATAATCTATCTGCACGCGCGGGTGGGTCTTTGTCTCTCTCTCTAACACTAAACGTCTAATCTTCACTAAGTAGTGGGCTCATGTCACATGTAATGTAGTATTAAGAGTGCATATCCCACTTTATTGGGTTACAGCAGCTGCTAGGGTTTAGAGAGGATATAAATTCATAGTGCGCTATTCTAATCTATTTTATGTTTCTCACTCGCACTAAATGTTGTATCTTCACTGGGTATTGGGTCTCATCGTCTCTCTTGTATGTGATTCACCACTAAGATGGTGGATCTCCCATTCTCTCTTGTTTGTTTGTATTTATGAAACATCATTATCTTAGTTTTGTCCTAAATTACTTCGATTGTCTATACTCTATAGTCTATACGAAGATCAAAAGTCATTACAATTTTGTTTTTTATTACTTCTATTGATGTTCTTTTGTCAGAGTCTTTCATTTAAAATCAAATCACACCTCCCATGTAGTGCTATTTAAGGTCTACATGATGAGCCCTCAAGTTTCGTTTGCCTATTCAACTATTTATTGACTCTGTGAAACTTGAAACTTGTGGAAATTGCACACAAAGTTTTCTGTTTGTTCTCTTTTCACCGTCTCTTTAGAATCTCTCACTCGCTCAAACTAATAAATAAAGTACAGTTTGTATAGAGCCGAGGTTTTAAACAATCAAATTTAAATCCATATATAAATAATATTGAAAAATGTGGTTTTGGAATCTTTTATAAACTTTAAAATATATTTTTATATTTAATTATAAAAATTTAAAGCTTCAAAAAAATTATTGGTTAAACATATATATAAAAATTTAAATAATTTAAAAATTAACGGTCCAAAAAATAAATTACAAGATACGTTATTTTCAAAACTTGAAATCAAATCCATACATATTGACATGAACCTCTTCTACCGAAATTTTGGAGTTAGATTCCCATCGAAAGGGTCCATAGAAATATTTGACATAAATTTCAATAACTTTCAGGAAGTGAGTTAGTTTTCGAGGAAGCTGCATCTGAGAAGACGCAGTGGGTTTTATAGAAAAGGCTTTAAAGATCCTTTTTCCTAGTATCCGGTCACCCTATTATGGTCGGCCACGTATACAGCAGCGCAGCGAAAGTGACGGCCACTTGTCTGAAAACCGGACCGGGATACCGCCTCCCACTTTGTGGTTTCGCTCGTCTTATCTGGGGATCTGGAATGTTTGGTGGGCATTTTCGTCTTTGTCTTGTTCATCCTTTATGCTTATCCCTTCCCTTCTATAAGTTTTCGCAAGTGTGAGTTTTTCCGTCCTTTTTCCATCTCTGATGCTCACGAGCCAATGTATGGACGGTGCAGATTGATAGAGACTGCTGAATTAGTATCTGGTTCGTCGTTATGGCCGATGTGTGGCTCACGATGTAGCTTGGACAGTGGTCGGTAAGATTCTGGAGAGGCCCTTGGATCTAAGATCTGGACCGTCAATTGGGATGTTGCGACACGTGTCCTGTTGAAAATAATGGACTTTGACGATCTGAGTGGTGGGTGGGCCCAGGTATGGAAGGCGGCGTCGTTTTCGGTAGTTGAGAGTTTGTTTTCTTGATTTGGTGTAGAGGTTGGGTGGACGGTGAGAGAGACGTGTGCCACGCCAATAATACAAGAACGTTTTGAGTTTCGGCAAGTTTTCGGTGTATATGGTTTCGAAAGTTTTAAAGTTTCGGATGAATCATACTTTTTTATTGAATTTCGGTGAGGTTTTCACCGTCGGTTAGAGATTGAGGGACAATTGCTATTCCCAATTCATACCGACCTTTGAATTTCAGCGAATTTAGATTGGATTTTTTGTGATTTTTTTCTTGCTCTCGAAAGTTGTACCAACCACCCAATTTGGGCAACTTTCTGCCGATTTCATTCTCCTCATTAAATTAGGCAAAGTTTTTGTGAAGCTCACAAAAGCAATGAAAACGTCACATTTATATAGGTAAAGTATACACGAAGACTATTTATTTTTAGTATAAAAAAATTACAATCATTCTCATCCGTTAGATTTCAAATTAGATAGTGGTGAGTGTGCCAGTGACAAAACTCACAATCCAAAAACACTTTCTAAAACTTTATGCCGCACCCCAAGTCACTTGATCTCTTTGTAACAAAGGTCTCATATTATACAATCCTTTTATGCAAGTCTTCTACTTAGCAAAATTTTGTTTGTTCAATCATGATGAGGCCGTTCCGACCATTTAACAGGAGGAGATGAGGACGAACCATTTAACCGGTGGAGATGAGGACGATTCCTTGGGTTAAAACCGGTGTAGCCAATAAGACCAATTTTTTCTTTTAAAAGACGTGCATAAAACCCACGAAATTAATTGAAGAAAATGAAAGAGAAGGAAGACGGAGTAATAAATCTTAATTGAAAAGGAAAAAAAAAAGGAGTGTTTACCCGACATGTGCATGAAGGGGTTACAGGAAGAAAACCAGTAGTGAGGGCGCACGAGCCAAGTTATACTAGAGAGTTTGTAATGGGATTGTATACAATGGAGCTCACAATTACTTACAACCATCTGATGTGAAATTTGATAGCTTGGATGTGTCACAAAGTTCGAAACTTTTTTTTTGAAATTTGAGCTTCATCAATAGAATAAATGCAGCCATCTAATTTCATATCCAATGATCAAGATTAATTGTGACTTTCTTGTACCAAAGATAAATTGTCTCATTGTATACTTTTCTATTCAAAATTACTAGTTTTAGTGATTTTTTGGAAAAATTACTAGTTCTAGTGAGTGTAAATATTTTCTAGCTTAAAACTTAAGTATTACCGTTTAAATATTATAGCTTGGTGGGGCAAAAAGGTGAACAAAAAAAAAACGAAAAAATGAAAAATTGAAAGCTTGAAAGCTTGAAAGATCTAGCCGATCTGTACTTAAAACTTAGTGGTGGAAATGGGCATGGTGACCGGCCAGCCCAGCCCGCTTGGATCACAAAATAGAGGCACGGTACGGTCACGTCGGGCCAGGGACAAGATCACAACAAGGCCTATTGGAGCCGCTTCTATGATGTTTTTGCTGTGCCCTATTAAGCTGGTTAATGGGGCCCTCACCACTTAATTTTAAAGCTGGTTTACGGGGCGGGCCCTCACTTCTTAATTTTGACCGATTGAAGAATTAGACGGTTATGGTGCGCTCGGGGTATTTATTACATGCGCTTTGCCCTAACTTGAGTTCTTCAGTACTTCATTGGCTGAGGATTCGAAGTCAGGAGCTGAGTTTACCATGCATCATCCATTATCCTTAAAACATACTCACCAAAAGTAACTAGTCCCAACTTTCTCAAAAAAAGAGAGTAACTAGTCCCAAAGCACAATGTATAGTTCATCCTTAAAACTTACCAAAAGAAAATACACCCAAAGCACACAGCAGGGTAAGCCTTTTCCTATGACTTAAAACTCGGAAAAAAAAAAGAAAAAAAAAGGGCTTAAGAGGATTTTTTCAATTTAACATTACAATATCCACTCTAAAATCATCAAATGAGTATTCACTTTAATGAGGGAATTCGACACTAGTCTCTCTGAATATTATATGGAAAAGAATACAAATACACTACTCACTTCGAAAACAAGGAGGTCACAATCACTTTTGTCCATCAGATTTTAAATTAGGTGGTTATAAGTTTATCATTAACGAGACTCAAAGTTAAAAAACAAATTTCTCTAACTTTGTGACGTATCCCAAGCCATCAAATTTGACATTTAATAACTAGGAGTGATTGTGACCTCCCTGTGAAAATAATAAATGGTCTCATAGCATCAATACCATATTATGTTTAGATCTGACAGCCCATTGGTCGGGCTTCGATCTCGTCGCTCAGCCGGGGATAGGTACCAACGATGAGATCGCTCTCTCAAAAAACCGTACACCTGTGGGCATGTGGCGTCAGTGCATGTGTGTGGATAGGTACCAACGATGAGAGAGATTTTGGTGGTGAGGGAGTTAGGCGCCTAACTCGTGCGGTTGTGTTCGTGGACAGACCTGGGCTCGGCTAGGACTCCTAGATCAATTCAAAAGCTCCCTAGATGTCTTGGCACGGTCTGAGACTCATTACCTTTCTGCAATCACACCACACTTGATTCACGCTCCTTTGTTATGAAATTCGGGGTAATAACCCTTGGTTCGTACCATTTGATGATGGTTTGGGTAATGGGCTTAGGTAGGCTAAGCTTACGTCTTAGATGGGATAGAGAGGGGTAGATCAAAAGATAAGGAGAAATAAGAAGAGAGAGAGAGAAGGAAGATGATCATTCTTCAATTCTGCAGCCTTCCGACGTCACCTCCCCCAAGAGGCTTTACCAGTTAACCTAAAAAAATACTAAGCCTAGGCCTAATACCCCGAAGGCAGGCGAAAAGACACATACTTCTTAGGCACTAGAAAGCCCCAAGGTCATCCTAGTGCACAACTTTCCTTAAAGAGTGTATGAGAAGAAAAGGGAATTAGGAAAGAAGAAGGAAGACGATAGAAGACAGGCACTCTATGATCCTGTGGCCTTCTGGCATCATCTCCCCTAGTACTCTTTACTGGTTGACCCAAAAAAGGTATTAAGCCTAATCCTAATACCTTAGAGGTAGGTGAGAAGGCACAAAACTTCTTGGGCACTATAAAGCCCCAAGGTCAGCCTAATGCACAATCTTCCTCAATAGAGAGGATATTTAAAATAAGTGAAGAGGAGAGTGAGTAGACGAAAAGAAAAGAGAAGTGAAAAGAGTAAGAGAGGAAAAGAAGAAGGGTAGAGAGAAAGAGATTAGATAAGAGTGAGGGAGACAGAAGAAAGAATAAGAGAGGGGGAAAGAGAAAGGAGGATGAGAAAGGGTGGGGGGGGGGGGGAGGGGGGGGGGGTCTCCCTCTTGAAGTGGGAGGAAGAGAGAGAGAAGGCCAAACAGCTTAGTCACCTGGGTACGAGGGAGAGGGGGAGAGATAGAGAGAAGAAGAGAGAGGGAGAGAGGACCAGGCAGCTTAGCCGCCTAGTTGAGAGAGACAGATAAAGAGGGGACCCAGAAAGAGAGAAGAGAGAGAAAGAGAAAGAAGATAGAGGAGAAGGGAAAGAGAGGCGAGAGATGGATCGGGTACCTAAAGGTGAGGTGATAGTTCGACCCAACAGCTTAGCGTGCTCCCAACGGTCCCTTTGAGTGCTCTTTGAGAAGCTAGAAGGGTTAGGGTGTAGGCTCGAGTGTTGGTGAGCTTAGATGGCTATGCTGTATGGAGTATGATTAGTGTAGGTTTTTATCAAAAAGAGTATGATGAGTGTAGGTTAGGATAGTCTAAAGAGGACTATGGTGTATGATGTGGGTATAGGGTGTATTGTATGGGTTGTGGCGGTCTCGGGAGTATAGGGAAGTATGGTCTATAGTGGCCTAAAGAGTATGGTGAAGTATGGGTTATGGTGGTCTAAGGAGTAAGGGTGTAAGGAGTAAGAGGTTTGGAAGGAGTAAGAAATTTGGAAGTGTAGGGTATGAAAGTGGGGGCTTCCAAGGGTAACTCTCAAAGTAGGAAAATATTTTCTCTCCTTTCTGTTGAAGCAAGAAAGAAGCACAAACGTATGCTAAAAGGGGCAAAGCTTAGAAATTTTTCTCTTCTTTTTAACTTAGGTTACAAATGATGTTAAGGAACTTATATATGATCTCCACAAAACAAGGGTGGATGGCCAAAAGACAATAAAATTGCTTAAAAATAACATTTAAGTAAATAAATTAATTAATCCCATTTTTGGTCATAATGACCATTTTTGGTCATAATGACCATTTTTTGTCATAATGACCATTTTTTCCCTAGCCATGCTTCAGAGACTTTTTCGATGCTTTGTGGTGACATTTTGAGTGATTCGACATCGTAGAATGATGGTCATCTCAAGATGATCAATTTGATACCCATTTTGAAGCTTGAATCAAACTTTTGGTCATGAACCCAAAAAATACAGCCAAGTCCATAAACTTGCAAACTTTGATCATTAATATAGCTTGATTTGTCATGTTCTTGATTATTTTTTTATCACAAATCGAAGGGAAAGTTGTCGTGATTGTTTTGCAATGAAACCCTGATTTGAGTGTCGATTGATCAACTTCCTAATTTTGATAGTCGTTAAAAAATACAATTTCAGGGCCGAAAAATCATGCCTAGTTTCGAGCTTAAGTATGGTATCATCTGGCCCATAATCTTGGACAAGCGTTATCTTAAATAGAAACCCTTTGAGTCTCGGTCGCAAAGGACCTGCTCTTGATGCCATCCAATGTCGAGGCTTCAAGAAATGGCCACAGCGTGAATGGATCTCACTTTAAAAATTTCGTAATTTGTGTATTTTTGTTGAAATTCTCTCTAATATTTCTTCCATTTTGGGCATTGTCTTGGGCCATGCCATATATCAAAACGTGCATTTTGATGAGATAAACGGCATACTAAAATTTGAGTTTGATTGACCTTAAAATGAAAAAGCTATGACTTCCTAAAGACTTCTCGTTTTAAAATAACACAGTTGTCATAAATAGAAATTGGCTCATCATCGGACAAGAATAGTGTAAAACCTACCTATTTTAGGTAAGTTGGGCCTAAAAATATTCAAATGAGCTAAAATTTGGTATTCTAGAGTTTTTTGGCCTTCTAAATCCATTGGTGGTGGTCGGGTGATCACCAGAAATCTTGGCAAGATAGCTCTAGTAATGAGGCATTTTTCAGCATGTGAGGAAGCAACATTGTAAATGAAATTTTATTCTTATCTGGTTTATCTTTGTCGGATCGAAATGAAACTTAGCGGGCATCATTGGAACATCAAATTCTACCCTCACATGTTTTTTGGGTCTAGATGACTGGTTGGGCCTAGATTTTCGTCTTTTGGGGACACAGAGGGACCTGACTTGATAACCCTCTCTCAAACAACTGCGGGGCCCACGTATCCAAGATCAATCATGAACATTTCAAAAGTCTTGTACCATTGTCTTGATGCTTTCTTGAGTCCATATATATGGATTTCTTTGACTTGCACACTAGCATGTCTTTTCCTTTGTCAATAAATCCTTCCGATTATTGCATATATACTTCCTCTTCAGGTTCACCCTATAAAAAGTTCGTTTTTACATCCATTTGTTCAAATTCTAAATCATGCAATGCAACAAGCGCAAGCACCAACCTAATGGAGTCTAACTTGACAACTGGTATGAAAATTTCAAGAAAGTCGACACCTTCTTTCTGTGCAAATCCCTTTGTAACTAACCTTGCCTTATACCTTTCTAGATTTTCATCAATCCCTTTTTTGATTTTGAACATCCACTTGTAACCAACTGCTTTTCCACCATTTGACAACTCTACCAGATCCCAAGTATTGTTCTTTCAAAGAGTCAATATTTCATCTTCCATTGCCTTCTTCTAAGATATGGAATCATCCCCTTCCATAGCTTCTTGGTAAATGCTTAGTTTTTCATTCATAACAACCAAAGCATATAGTATTTCAGGATCCACATCGTCCCTAAACCGTTCGAGTTGATGAATTACCATTGTAGATCTTCTTGTCATGGATGATGCAACTTCTTCATAGAAATCACCTGGTTCACCAACTTGCCCTTGTTCATTAATGGCTTCTTCATTGATACTTATGGGTGCTTCTTTCGGTATGTGGCCCTCCTAGATGATGGGACATAAGGTTAAAACTCAATTTCTTCAGTGTCATTATGATATTCTTTATTTCTTTAATCTCATTTCCTACACCTCTTGCCAACACGGATGACTCATCAAAATGCACATCTCTGCTTGAAATTATCTTTCGAATAATTGGATCCTATAACTGGTGTCTTTCACACTTTTGTTATACCCATCGAAAATGTATTTCTTTGATTTTGGTTCAAGCTTATTTCTTTGGAAACTAGGAATTAAAACATGAGCATCACAATAAAAAATATTTAAATTGAAATAATCACAAGGAGTTTTGGACCATATCGCTTGGGGTGTTTTCTCCCCCAAAGCTGTTGAAGGTGATTGATTGATGAGATAACAAGCGGTCATCATGGCTTCGGCCCATAGCTTTTGCTCCAATCCGACATTGCTCAACATACTTCTTGCTCGCTCCATCAAAGTGTGATTTATTCTTTCCGTAATATCATTTTGTTGGGAATTGTAAACTGTGGTGAAATGCCTCTTGATTCCTTCATCTTTACAAAAGTTTGTAAACTCATCGGGTTTGTACTCCTTTCCATTGTTGGTACGAGTACTTTGATGTGGCACCCCATGCTCTTCTCAACTTCAGCCTTAAAATTCTTAAAAGCAAAAAATGCATCACTCTTTGATTTAAGAGTGAACACTCATACCTTCTTTGAGAAGTCATCTATAAAAGTAATAAAATACAATGCACCACTATATGACACTATGGGTGAGGGCTCCCTTAAATCCAAGTGAACATAATCAAGTATTCCCTTGTTTGTAAGGCTTCTGGCTTTGAAATTTCGTCTATGTTGTCTCACATAGAGAATGTTCACATATTTCAGATTCCCCAAATTTCATAGTGGGAATTAACTTCCTCTTCATCAAAATCTCCATACCTTTTTCACTCAAGTGGTCGAACCTCCTATGCCATAAGCGTAGTGGAAGATCATTAGTCTCCACTACCGAATTTGTTGCATCATCAGCAATGGAGCTTCCCAATAACTTATATAAGGTCCCAATTCTAACACCTTTGATCACAACAAGAGCACCCTTAAATACTTTGAGAACTCCTCCTTGTCCAGTGAATTTATAGCCATGAGAATCCAATAAAGAAAGAGAAATTAAACTTTTCTTCAAGTTCGGCACATGTCGAACATGCTCAAGTATGCGGATACTACCATCATACATCCTTAATTTCAACCTGCCAATTCCAACCATTCTATTACTTGAATTGTTTCCCATCAACACGGAACCACTTTCATATGTACTAAACCATGACTTGTGTGGGTACATATGATGTGTAGTACCACTATCCAAAATCCAATTTTGATGAAGTTCGGGATTGCAACCTACGACATAAACCTCTTCTTCAATAAAACTGGATGTAGATTCCTCCACTTGATTTACCTCATTTTTAGACTTATTGGTTTCCCTTGCTTTTTCGAATTTTTGTCCTTTCCTTTTTGTACAATTTTGCTTCATATATCTGGCTTCACTATATCCTCAACAAACAAACTTGTTTTCTCGCCCTTTAGACTTAGATCAACTTTTCTTTCGACTTAGATCTTGAAGAATTTTGAGAGGAATTACCTCTCTCACTTGAACAACCACTTGAAAAGTGCAATTTCGATTCCGGTTCTCCAATAGATGCATTTTTTTCATAGTTCATGGGAAAGCAAATTACTAGTCATCGTACTTAATTCAAGTGAATCTTCTTTAGTGCAACTTAATGTTGTCACTAAATTATAATAAGATTCTGGTAAAGTACATAAACATTACCGCATTGTCCTCATCTTTCATTTTTCACCAACATTATCAAGTTCACAAATAATGTTATTAAAAGTATTCAAATTATCAGAGACTTTTGTCCCCACTTTCATCCTTAAGCTAAATAATTTTTTCTTCAATAGAATACTGTTTGTAAAACATTTCTTTTGATAAACACTTTCTAATTTCTCCCACAAGGCCTTTACCATCTTCTCTCCCACTATATTGAATAAAACCTTATTTGCTAGACACAATCAAATTATAGCCACACCCTCAGGTTATATTAGTTGTAGGGTATTTTTCGACACTTGTATCCCTGACATAAATAAGGAGGAAGCTAGTTGCGACCTAAAACTAGAGGTACCAAAATACCTATGGATTACGGAAGCAATGATAGAATAAACCTTTATCTTGGGAGAATTTTAAAAGGTCTAGGATTGGTCTCAAAAAGCATGTGGGAGTGGCATTTGACTCCTTAAGAATAACCACCAAGATTCATCACGATCTGATGAAGTTAAAGTAGATCAAATAGAAAATTAGTTTTCAAATTCGGCTCTAAGCATGCTGAAATAGCACCTCATAACTATAGCCCTATTATCAGGGTCTCAGATGAGTATCAAACTGTTTCCTTTGGATTTAGAAGGTCCGAAAACCCCTAGATATTAAATTTCAGCTCATTCAGACATTTATGGACCATTCTAGGGCCAACTTACCTAAAAAGGGTGGATTTTACACTATTCTGGTACACCCTCGGTGAACCAATTTCCATTTCTTGAAACTGTGACTTACGAACTCAGGATCATCTTCCAAGATCCCAAATTTTAGAAGGCTCTACGTCTCGTCAATACGCACGTTTTGATAAATAGTATGGTCCGTGACACAACTCGAGACGAAGGAAATCGTAGATAGAAGTTGGATAAAAAAAACTCATGAGTTTCAGATTTTTGCATAATGGAGACCCTTTTGATCAAGTCGCTATATCATGAAGCCCCAACCTCGGATTATCTTGAAAACAAGTCCGTTGCAACCATGACGTCGAGGGCTTCGATTTGCGGTAAGCATCACATGTGATGAAAGACCAAAGATGTCGTATTTTGAGGTTGTAACAAGGGACATTTATCGGTGGCTGGAATCCATACTTCTACAACTGCCCCAATTCAGAAAGTAATTATCGGCAACCAAATCGAGTCATTTTTATCACAAAATGATCATGGTGGCTTCCCTGTCGTTCTATGTTGTTCTATGAAGAAACGGACACGATCAAGCATTCAAGATTGCAAGTTTCTCATCTTTCGCTGTTTTTCAAGAAATGTGTGAAACCTCGATTCAAGGATCAAATCATATATCAAAATGATCGTCTCGCCAAGACCATCACTTTTATGATGTTATTTTTGCCGGTCCCAAAACTGGATTCAATTTTAATTCATAAAAATTGTAATTTTTGACAATTTGGCTTTCTTTTAGTCATCTACCATTGTTTCAAGGGGAAGTTATATAAGCACCATATGCTCATTGAAGTTGGGTAAGGTTGGATGTAAGTTCAAAAGTTAATGAAATACATTGAGCTTCCCTTTAGTTTGTGATTTTTGACTCCATCTTCTTTACCCTAAAGAGAGGAGAGAGAAAACTTTAACTAATTGAGGACTACCCGTAGTATCTCCCACTTCCCACGTACAACTTTCCACTCCCAACATAGAACCTTTTACTTCCCTCTCCCTTAATCCCTACTCCCATACACCCTAGTTACATCTCCCATAGTTCCTATCCCATACACATTGTTCTTAGTTCATAAGCCTTAATTCCTACTCCCATACACCCTAGTCACATCTCTCGTTGTTCCTACCTCATAGACCTTAGACCTATTTTCCATAGTCCTTAGTTCATAAGCCTTATCCCTACACCATCACTTCAACCTCAAAGCACTTACCCCACTCTTAAGGATACATCGAGAAGGTTAGGACCAACTTAGCCCTCGGTTCAGATCCAAGGGTCACACTTGGTAACCACCTTTACTTTCTTTCTCTCTCCTCTCTCTCTTCTGCATAGACTCAAGGTGGGTCCCAGCACCCATCCCCTTCTTTTTCTCTCGCTCTCCCCTCACTTACTCCCTCTCTCTCATCTAAAGTCACAGGCTCGCTCCTCCTGTCATTCCCATCTCTCCCTCTTTCACCAAGTCACAGGCTCGCGCATGGGCTCAGCTTTCCTCCTCTCCCTTCCTCTCTCCTTGCTCTCTCTCTCTCTCTCTCTCTCTCCTCTCTCTCTTCTCATCCCCTATCCCCACTATATGGTAAGTTTGAAAAATAGTCTCTCTCTCTCTCTCAACTCGCCCCCTCCCCCTTTCCCCACTATAAGGTAACTTTGAAAAATGTCTCTCTTTTCCCTCCTCCCCCACCCCCACCCCCACCCCCACCCCCACTCTAAGGTAAGTTTGAAAAATGTTTGCTTACAGTCCTCTCTCATTTTATACAGTTGGTGGCGGCATGTAGAAACCCCCCAGTCTTCTGTGTCATCACCGAGTACCTATCGGGAGGCTCACTGAGGTCATTCCTTCACAAACTTAAACCGGGTTCACTCACTCTCGAGAAAATAATTAAGATCTCGTTAGATATTGCAAGAGGAATGGAATATGTGCACTCTCAAGGGGTTATTCATAGAGATCTTAAGCCCGAGAACATGCTTTTTGATGAGGACATGTGTTTGAAAATCGCGGATTTTGGGATAGGTTGTGAAGAGAAACATTGTGACTTGTTATCTGAGGACCCAGGAACATTTCGATGGATGGCACCTGAGATGATTAAGCACAAAGCTTATGGTCGTAAAGTTGATGTGTATAGCTTTGGGCTTGTGTTATGGGAGATGGTGACTGGGACCATCCCTTATGAGGATATGACCCCCATTCAGGCTGCCTTTGCCGTGGTGAACAAGGTGTGCTTTGCTTTTTATACTGACGAGCACTATTGTAGCATTTCTTTTTTCTGGAGGTTTTTTACTATTGGTTAATGAATAAATCTAGCTTAGGTTGCACCAAGTATATGGAAGGTAGTATATTGTCCAGTTGATTGCGGAAACCATGGTCCATTGAGTTCATGACTATCGCATGATATGTTTGGATGGTGATGAAGATAGAGTGGGCCCTTCTGGATAGAAAGTGAACCTCACGGTGGGTCCCACTATGTCTTCATCAATGCCTGTCATTTCATATTTTTTGTCTTTCTCTGAAATTCGTCATGGATTTACTTCTTTGCGTTAGTATATTGACTTTTTTTTTATGATGGAATAAATCTAGCATTGGATGCACTAATTATATGGGAAAGTGTACATTAAAATAGACTGTGGAAAACTGGATTCCGTTGGGGTCATGACTGTCTGATGAAATGATGGACAGTGATGAAAAGAGAGTAGGGATCCACCAGAATTGGACATGAACTAAATGGTAGGATCCACTTTCTTCAGAAGAGGTCATCATATCATTGGATGGTTATGGTCCCATTTGACTCAGTTTTCCACATTCTATCCTCGTTAGACTATTATGCTATCCCCAAACCCAAGTTAGCTTGCTTGCATAGTTGTGTTTTGAGGCCTTATATAAGGCCAGAAATGCGATCTTCTGTGAAACTTGGATCATTATATATCATATTTTTCTCTTTACCTGCTTATTTAGGCTTGGAGGTTATTTTGCAACTCATTAGTTCTATCATTCCCGATTTTCACTTTTTCATAATCAGTTTTTACTTATTTGCAGTTTATGATGCTTATGCTTCTCTTTTATTATTAGAAATTATTAGGAGCCTTGTGATATTTTTGTAAACAGTAATGTGGAGAATATCTGAGACAATGTATTTAAGGATCCAATACATCGTTTGTTTTGTCTTGCAATTGCTACATTCTGAAATAAATGCGATCTGCGTGCTTTTGTCTTTTTTATTTAGATGTTAAAGAACACTGGAAATGTTCTGTCAACTTTACAGCACGAGTACGGTTTATCTGCTTGGATGAATACCTTTGAAACTATATGTTTTTTCAATCTGCCTCCATTGCATATTGAAAACTGCTTATTTTTAGGGAGGGACGAGAGAGAATTATTTCTAAAACAGGTCTTGTAGTACATTGTTAGTCTTTGATCTACACTATGTTCTAACTGTATTATAAGGTCACGGTACTTATCCCTTGGAACAATGTGTGCATTTATATCTATTTTCCATTTAAAAGTTAGGAATTGAAGAGTTAGAATTCGTTCTTAATTATCATGCTACCAATATCTACAAAACCTACGGAAAAGTTCCTTCAATATCTGTAAGCATTTTCAAAATTATGGAAACATCCAAATTTCTCACCTCGGGTCTAAATAATTTTTTTCCTACTAAAACTTACGGCGTCTATGATGAGTTCTCTTCATTTGTGAAAAATTCAAACCGTCTTCACTCCTATGACCTTTGCATTGTTACACAGGCTTTCATGCTTTCCTTCTTTCTTTCATGACATGAACTTGGTTTTCTTTCACTGTCAAAAAGTAACGACTTATGTTTTTATATTTGCAGAATTTGAGGCCAACTATTCCTTTGGGGTGTCCGTCTCCTCTACGGGCTTTGATTGAGCAGTGCTGGTCCTTGCTTCCTGAGAAGAGGCCTGAATTTTGGCAGATTGTGAAGGTTTTGGAGCAATTTGAGTCTTCTCTTGGCAAGGATGGAACGCTATGCCTGGCTCAAAATGTGATAGCCGGTCAAGACCACAAGAAGCGGCTCACTAACTGGCTTCACAAGCTCACCATAGCCAATCCTGAACTCACCTCCACGCGTAAATAGTTTTAGTCTTGTAATCATCTTTTCCCTCAGTCGTTGCTATGTGATTTCACTGTTTCCCGTAGTAATGATACTGGTTACCTTTCATCCATGCTCTAGTTTTAACAAATCTCGTGCAATATATGTGAGGGACATGTGTTATGATACATATGAGCAGAGAAAGTCTAGGGTCATACATGGCTATATCAATTGATGGATGGTGATATGGAGGGGACCTGAACTTGCTACTAGGGTGTGTCGTGTTTGGGGGGTCCTCATTGTCTCCTTGGTTGGACATGTTATGACCCTGGATATTTGATGGTCATATGGATCACAAGTATATAGATGTACAGGGAAAAGTATGCCAAGCATAATGTGTACATTATGAATGTTTTATGGAGACTGGACTGGGCTGTGATCAGTCGAACCGGTTGAGCAGCCAACTTGCCTCCTTGGCCAATCCGGTGAAGTCATCAGATCAAGAATATCATAAAACAGGTCATGACAGGTCATACCAGAGCAACTGCTTAGTTACTACGGCTCCTTTAAGAGCCCTTAATTTGGACTTTCATCTAGTTTTAGCTAGATCTTTCATGCATTTCTGCATCTCTATTTTTGCCTTGCCTACCTGCCATATTTGTAATAGGGTGCGGTTTGTATAGAGCCTAGGCTCTAAACAATCAAATTGGAGCCTACTTTCAAGTAGTATTGGGAAATGTGGTTTCATTACCGGAAATCTTTGTAATAGCCTTAAAATATATTTTTATATTTATTTATAAAGTTTATAGCTTCAAAAATAGTGTAGATCAACCGATCTATGAAAACTTGAAAATCTTGAAAATTGACGGTCAAAAAATGCGATACAAAATACACTATTTCCAAAACTAGAAATCCAATTTTTTCTTATGTCCATGCATCTTGATGTTGTGATGATCAATTTGAAGATATTTGAGTATCAAAACAACATCTTGGAGTGAAATTTTTGAGGTAGGCTCAAATTTGATTATTTAGAGCCTCGGCTCTATATAAACTTTTCCCTTTGTAATATAATCCCTGAGATTTAGTAAAAAAAAACTTTCTCATTAAACCCTATTATCTCTCTACTTTATCTTAATTTAATATTTTTAGTTTTGTCAAAAATTTGGAAAGATTCCCGTATCTTGAATTTAAATTGTAACATGTGGAAACCCTACCTTGTTTTCTGTCGACTCTTTTTTTTTTTTTTACAACTTTTTATCTTTTTCATTTCTTTGGTATGTTTTGGCCTGGATTTTTTCCCTTTCGTTTTTTCTCTCTCCCAGGCACATAGACATGTTGGGTTATCTTGGAAGTCTTCATCCACCACTATTTTTGAGCTCGAAAACCTTGATATTGTGTTAGACTGGATTTGTAATCCATTTTGTGGTCACTGAAATTGCTGCATCCAAAGCTATAGCTTTTTTTTTTTTTAAGATTTATTATTTAGTTTTCCTTTATTATAATTTTTTAATTTGAAATTTTCATTTGTGTGTGTATTGAAATGGTTCGACCAGTCCTACAAGTTATGACTTGACTATTCCCTTGCCCGGTTCAAGAACAGGTCTCTTCTGATAACACTAGTGCGAAATATAGTACTTCATCCCCAAGGTCCGTGCACAATGATGGATGGTGGGCATGAACCATTTTTTAATCCCGATTACACACCTATTTAATGATTTATATCAAGGAAAAGTATATAATGAGATCATTTATTTTTGGGACAATGTGGTCACAATTAATTTGGATCATTGGATATGAAATTGGGTGGGTACATTTATTTCATTAACCAAGCTCAAAGTTTAATTTTTTTTCGAACTTTGTGCCACCCAAACTGATTATAAATAATCTTGACCTCGGACCTAAGGCAAATGGTCTCGTATATAATCTCTTATATGAATTGGCCGTTTGTTCTGTAAACCAATTCGTTTATGCATGCAATTATAATAGGTGCTTCCGAATTTGTGATCTGTTCCAAATTGAAAAGGTCTATGAATCTACTGCATGTGGAATTGTGATGATGAATACTTGTATGGTGGCAATTCTATATCTCTTTATTTAAAAATTACCAACCCTACCCTCTATTCGGGAGTGTGCATTTTCCATGTGTGGTTTCAATAGGAATATCAATAGGAATAGGAAGTAGCTAGGAACTCTCTCTATTTTTCGGCTCCAATCCCATATTATGAGTTTAATAAATTGTCCATTTCAAGGTACCTATTCCAGTCCCCGCATCCCTCCCTCCCTCCCCCCCCCGGCCTCTCTCTCTCTTTCTCTCTCACCCACACACACCCCAGTTCTCCCAACTTGCTGATAATTCTGGACATTTTGTTTTGTCGACCCTAACTATGTGTAGGGTTGGGTATGGCTCGAGTCCGGCTGGACTTAGAGCCAGACCCAGACCCGAAAGTATTTGGGTCCAAGTTTTGAACCCGACCGGACCCATCGGGTCCAAATATTGGACCCATACCCATACCCGTTGGGTCCAAAGATTGGACCCGTACCTGTGAGGTCCCGGATCTATCCTGTCGGGTCTTGGGTCCATTGCCACCCTCACTATGATTCTTTTTTGTTTTCTTTTTACCATTTTGTTACTATCACATACCCGTATTATTGGTAACAAGGTCATTATCACCTGCTATTAGATTTCAAGACGTCTAGTTTGTCATTTAATAGCTAACAAGCCATCTAATTTGTCATTTAATAGCTAAAGATGACTACGAGTCTTATTGTATACAATACTTAATACACCCAAACCAATAGGGCTTAAAGTACTTTATCGCCAACAATTTATGTGTACGGGTTAAAGTCCACCTAGACCCAGACTCAGGCCCAAATAGCATTTGGGTCCAGGTTTTGGACTTGGACTCGACCCGTCAGGTCCAAATGTTGGACCCATACCCGGACCTGTGTCAGGTATACCTAGCAGGTCTGGGTCGGATCCGGGTCCATTGCCTCCTCTAATTGTGCCACCTTGGCTCCTAATTACTTAAGAGGTTAAGTTCAGCCTTCTCACGCATCTCTCACACAAGCAGGCATGCACACGGTCTACACAAGGGCTAAGAAGGGCATTTTCCCGATTTTATTACTCTGTACAATTACAACATTGCATCAGATGCCTTTCAATGGGTCTGAGCTTGGGGTTTATATGGATCCAGGTTAGAACTTTTGAATTTCAAATACAAGATGCATGGCCTAAATTAAAGCCATCTGGTGGCTAGCTTTTGTCGGGTCAGTTATAGTAACCACCCACGGTCTTACCTGCCATGACTTAGCCGTTACACCCCAAATCTCAGGGCTCCTCATGATGGCCCTGATTTCGTTGAATTTAAATTTGGTGTCTGGCCACCTCGACGACACGAGCTCACCATCTAACTGAGGCCTAAGCCTCCACACATCATAATTGGCACCCGCCTTATCCACCGCAATGGGTCGGTGGACCCAAGGCTTGAGTCCCCTCCTCAAATTGGTCTGTGGGCTTAAATAACTAAGCCACCAAGAGATGAAGGTACATACTGCAAAGTAGCACAAGTTTGTACGTGACCTACACTGAGTCATTCTTGGTTGTTAGCTGCATTGATGGGGTTCCATGCACCTAGCCATTGAGTAGCAAGTATACACCAAGTTGGGGGCCTAAAAAGCCTTACTCACCAACAGTTCTTGACTTCCTTATCAGGAGTCTAGTCAACAACTCCTGGATCCCCTCATAATCCCAAAGTCTAGGTTCTTCTTCGTGCAAACCTTCCCCTTTGATTAGGAACACTCTACCCTTCAATTATTATACTTTGACCATATAAGCACTGAGCCAAGTTGGCCTTGATATTGCTTTCATACTGGATCTGCATGTTTGACGAGGCTCGAACTGGGTGTTTGTCTCATCCTCATGGGATGATAAGGCTTCAATAAGCTCATATGGAACATGGGCTATACCTTGATCTAGTCAGGGAAAGCCAAGCAGTAGGCCAACTTCCCTATCCGCCTGGTCATCTCAAAGGAACCATTGTACTTGTGGATCACTCCATAATGTGCTGTCTTGAAACTGATCTTCTTCGAAATTTGTAGAATCAGCTTGAGCATCACCTAGTCCCTGACTCGGAGTTCAAATGCCTTGAACCTTGGTCTGCATACTTCTTCATACATTTGGTTGCTTGGTCCAGCAGTCATGCACCTCTTTAAACTGCTCCTCTCGAGCCTTAGCTAAGCTCAAGGTAGCTAGGCACTGCGCCTATCTTTGCTACAAGGGCAAGCACATCATGCGATGCTAAGGTGTCATGACCTTGCTCCCTGACCCCTGCCGTCCTATACAGTAGGGCGATAGAGTGCGGGATCGTGACCAGAGGTTGCGTACGTTACTTAGGTGGGAGTGGCATCAACACGTGTTTAGAGTGCGAAATCAAAGCAAACCATGAGAAATAAATAAAAAATCATCCATCAAGCACTGAAAACTGAATAAATTAGAATCATTAAACTTTCATTCAATTCCAAAAGTCTTTACAATATAGTTTAAGGCTTATAAGGCTAACATTCATCTCATACATCAAAACATTATAATGGGCTCGCCATAAAACACCCACTAAGCAGGAAAGAAGATCCCTGACAGGTTCAAACTCCAAGCGCCTGTTATCATTGGTTTGCCGCTCACCACTGGCAGTCAAGCACTATCACTCTACACAGAAAATGAATGGAGTGAGCTATAAGCTTAGTAAGAAGATCACTGCCCTTGCATTCTCGTTTACATGTATATGCCCATGGTTCATCAGAAATCACATTTGCCTCACAGAGTAAGGTCACACATCAGAGTACATATAAATGCTATATAAAGAGGGTAAGATTCAGTTAACGGAGCATTGCTTGTTCTCAAGATGACATCTACCTTTATGCATGTCACAGTTATAGTTAGATGTTCATACAGAATACTGGATTCAAACAAGCAGAACATATTAAGTTACTCCCGAAGTAGAAGCCACATCGATCAGGCTAAGCCAATCCTGTAACTTGAGGCTTTTACCCTGATTCAGGAGGGAGGATAATGACAAGTGGAGGTCTTACTTTGTAATATCTTTAATCACGTACATATCCCTAGCATGTTTTAGGGTT